TCCGTTGCTTGGTCGCTGTTCATGGTATAAATTTCTATTTTTTTTTTTTTTTTTTTTATTGTACCCTCACTCCTTTACAATTCTCTTCGCTTTTTTCTGGATTTGGAGTTTTCTTCAGTTGCAGAGCTTTATTGACTCAATTTATGTAAAATTCTTTAGATTGTTGGTTTGTTTTCATTTTATTTCCCTATTTTTTTGGGGGAATTGATAACTTCTGTGGCATTTACTTTCATTATTTGACTAAATTGGTGAGCTGCTTGCCAAAGGGTTGAGTTCTGTTTGTGCTATAAAACCTAGGATTTTGCTAAATGCTAATCAGCAGTACTGTGTTTCATATCAAATTTACACTCTTTTTTAATTAATGACTTTGAATTCCTAAATTTCTTGTATGTTGTCTTGGTTAGGCACTAGGATTTCTAGTGGACTTATTGATAGATTGTTCACCGAGTCAGAAAATTCTTAGCTATTGTCAGTGCATTTAAGTACTTGAAAGGTTAAATTGAGAGAAAGTAAGGATAGTATTCAATAGGAGCAGGCTGAGAGGCTAATTTGATGGTTATACCTCTCCCTTCTCAAACATCTCCCCAAATACCCTAGCTAGATGTCCCAGCGTCAAATTTTGGATGGTTGTGTTGAAATTTTTTTTTTTCCCAGGTTTCTTTGTGATTTCCTTTCGTATCTAACAAGTGAGTGGAAGTTATGATTGGTTTGAGGGTGAAGTTAGATTCATGTACTCATAGCTCCTAATTGTCCTTGCTTAAGCAGAAGTGGGTAAAGAGTTATGGCTATATGTAGTTAGTTGGTGAAAGCATTGTTTGAATTGATATTCAAAAAGACAGTGATCATTGTGATTTCTCTTCTGCTTCTGTGCTTTGCAATGGGTGCAAGATAGGTTTGTGTTAGATACTACATCTCAATTTTAGCTTGCTGATCAAATGTAATAGGATTATTGTGCTTGCTTGAAGAGAAAAAGGGAGAGGAGTGTTGTATATACCTTATCTAGCTTTGCTAGTTTTTTGGTGGTGATTATCAGGAGAAAAGACATGAGCTTTATATTTATTGAATGACTACAAAAAGGAGTCACAACTTCTAGGATTGGTGAATGACATGCTACCTCCAGCCTTGATCTTTAATGCCTTCAAATGTCCATCTGTGATTTTTTACTTCATTTCTGCTATCCTAAATGTTTCTCTTTTCTTGTTCTCCAGATGGGTATTCTGCCTAATGGAATTGATGTCTTCCCGAAAGAACCTGATGCATTTACAGGGTTGGTTCCATGATTTATATTTTACTTATTTTTGCCTCGTATAAAGTCTTGTTCTTCTGCTATCCAATCTGGAAAAATAAGTAAAATTTCTTTGCAGGTTCCCACTTGCTCAGCTTCATGCTCTGAGAAAACCTGGTCCAGAGAACAAAGATGCCGGTGAAACTGACGATGATGAAGAAGAGGAAGATGAGGCTGCAGATGATCAGGATGAGGATGGAGGTGAGGAGGAAGATGGATCCGGTGAAGACGGTGAAGATGATGCTGAGGATGAACCAGAGGCAAATGGTGATGGTGCCAGTGGAGATGATGATGATGAAGAGGATGAAGAAGAAGAGGATGACGATGACGATGATGATGCTGATGAAGAGGATGAAGAAGACGAAGAAGACGAGGACGAGGTTCCTCAGCCACCAACTAAGAAGAAGAAATAAACCAGATTGTCTCTTCTTTATCTTTTCTTTGTCCTGCTGGAGCTAGGGCGCTAGGGCAGTATGGTGTAGTTGGAGAGGCTAGAATTGTTAGATTCATGGTATCTGTTCACATTAGAGTCGAATCATTAGATTAAGATTGCAATACTTTGTGGATTATGACCTGCTTGATATACTTTCTATTTTCACTTGTAGTCTGACGTCATGTTGTTCCATGCGACCCTCTTTTACTCCCTGCCATCTTCATTTGTCCACATTAATTCAGGACTAAATTTTCATGCCGCCTTTGTGTTTTTGGGGTGTGGAGGTAATGTGGTATCTTGGTACCAACAATTTGTTGGTTCAAATAGAAAGAGTTCGGTTCTCTTTAAGTAAAATTTTGAGTTTGAGTCTTATGAATGGAGGAATGGGTTTTGGGAGAGTTTTCTCCTTAATGGGGTCTGTTTAGGTTTGATTTTAGATTAATTAGGATTTAATGTAATTATCAGATACTAAAAAATTAATATAAAAAAAAATGTGGTATCCTAGCTGATTTGCACAAATCAGATTAAATTTAACAGTCACAATAGTAATGGAACCTGAAGGAAACAACGCAAAGGAGGGATTAAATCCTTTACAGGCAAACTTGATTCAGCTTTGTGATACTTACCTCAACATCCCCATTCCCTCCCTCATCTTACGGTGCCAATCTCTGTATTATTAATAATAAGCTGCTAGACTCACACTTTATGACATGGCAATGGGTTTAAACGTTCTAATTAACAAAAAATTAAGGATTATGTCAGAAAATACCTTGAAAATGTCTCGCTTTGAAATTGTGAGTGATACTGATACCCCAGCGTTGATTTTTCTTCATAGAAAAGATGGATGTTTCTTCGAAAAATCAAAGACTTGAAACGCACATACATGTGTTTAACCTTATCTCTAACGACTTGACTAAACAACCAGCGGTTTGTGCTCATTTGTCTCTCTCTTTGTTTACTTTGACCTAGCACGTTTGCCCTTTAAAAATCCTAGTCTCCATATTTGACTCAAATAAATTAGGTCGGAGAATACAATGATAGAGTTTAACAATGAATTGATTTGTTTTAGTGTTCTTGTTATCTTTAAGGTGTGGTGGAGACTTGTGGATTTCCCCAATTTAATAAGGGGTTGTTCTTCTGCTTTCAATCTTATTGTTTTCTTGAGTTCACAATATAGGAAATTTTCTCCAAATGGATACTCACCTCACTATTCATTTTGTTTTTGACAACTTATTTTTCCTTCACTTTTAAGAAGTAATTGGCTGACTATTCAATAATAAAAAAACAAAAATACACACAGGCATATTTCTCTGCCTAATTATTGGTGTTTGGCGTATAGAAAATGATGAGAATGCCTAAGTCAATCCACTTGCTTAACCCATTAAAAACACCCAATATGTATACTTTCCATCACATTGTCTCATACTTCGTATTCCTCAATGAAGAGTCAATTATTAGACATAAAGCCGAGGACGAAGGCAGTGTTTTATGTGTTGGGTTCCCTAATTAGTCTTGTGGGTTTGGGGATTTTGCTTTGTTGGTTGTTTGTCAAGAAAGAGGTAATTTTAGGGTCTGTTAATGTTTTGGTTAATGGTACATCTGCAATAGCAACAACAGATGAGAATTTCATATGTGCTACTCTGGATTGGTGGCCTCCACAGAAATGCGACTGTGGAACTTGCAGTTGGGGCAAAGCTTCTCTTCTTAAACTAGTAAGCATCTCTTCCTTATATATTCCTTAAACTAGTAAGCAGTTGGTGGAACTTTACAAGACAGAGTCATATATGAAACAAAAGGTGATGGAAAACCTTGTACACCATTTGTTAAAGACCATTCTGAGTTTTTGGGATTTTCTCAAGGTTGCTTACCTATGTCTAGATGGGATGAGCTCAATGTTTTCTCTATACATACAGAAACCTAAAAAAAAAAAAAAATGTAAAGAGTATTAACAGAATACATAAATTCTGTTTTCAGGATCTCGAAAACCCCATTTTGTTGAATGCTGTCAAAGGTAAGAGGTGTTTTCAATAGAATCAAATACGTAAGTGAAACATGAAGCTGGGCTTGATTCATTTCATTGCAGCCTTTTCTCCATTGAAGATCAGACTGGGTGGAACTTTACAAGATAGAGTCATATATGAAACAAAAGGTGATGGAAAACCTTGTACACCATTTGTTAAAGACCATTCTGAGTTTTTGGGATTTTCTCAAGGTTGCTTATCTATGTCTAGATGGGATGAGCTCAATGTTTTCTTCGGGAAAGCCGGGTATATGACTGAACTTTTTCGATTTCTTTCTCCTAAAATGAATCAATTCATCATTGATTTCTGTTCTAAAAATTTGCAGGGCTCTTGTTGTTTTTGGATTAAATGCATTAAATGGAAGGACTATAGATTCTCATGGGAAAGCAGTTGGAGCTTGGAATTCCAGCAATGCTGAATCCCTCCTAAGATACACTGTCAATAATGGCTACAAAATTCATGGCTGGGAACTTGGTAAACTCTCCTTCCTTTTTTTTTTTCTTCTCTTCATTCTCTTAATATACAGAATTTTTTATGTTAAGTATTTCTCAATGTTCAGGTAATGAACTCTGTGGCAGCCACAAAATCGGAGCGATAATTGCAGAAGATCAATATGCTTCAGATGTAGAAACTCTTCAGAACCTTGTGCAGAAGATATATAAAGGTTCTGAGGTTAAGCCACTGGTGATAGCACCAGGAGGGTTTCTTGACACTAACTGGTTCACGAAATTTATAAAGAAAGCACCCACTTCTCTTCAAGCAGTCACCCAACATATTTACAACCTTGGGGGAGGTAAAAAAAATCTCTACTTTCAAGTTTTTAGTTGAATTCAATTGCATTTTTTTTCAGAAAATTGTTTTTCCCTTTTATGCAGGTGATGATAAGAACCTCACTAGCAAGATTCTTGATCCAAATTACCTTAAGAGTGGATCCAAGAATTTTATTCGGCTTCAACAAATTTTGAAGAATTCTGGGAGTTCAGCAGTTGCATGGGTTGGGGAAGCAGGGGGAGTTCATAGCAGTGGCCAGAATCTTGTCAGCAATGCATTTGTAAACAGTTTCTGGTTAAGCATCATTCTCTCTTGGACACATTTTCTTTTCCTTTTTCTGAAAGGAATCGTCCTTGCTAAATTTTCCCGCTGACCAAACAGGTACTTGGACCAGCTTGGAATGGCAGCTTCCTATGATACAAAAACATACTGCAGACAGACATTGATAGGTGGGAATTATGGTCTTCTAAATACTGAAACCTTTGTTCCCAATCCAGATTACTACAGGTAAAGTCTTAAAACTTCGAAATATGATTTGCATATGAATCAATACAAATAATCAATGTTTTTCTGCAGTGCTCTTCTCTGGCATCGTTTAATGGGGAGCAAAGCCCTGTTCACAAATTCCACAGGGGCAAGCAATATTCGAGCTTATGCTCACTGTTCTAAGAAATCTGTATGTAAATGCTTCATCATTCTTGGATTTGCTACCAGAGTTTACACATCTATACTTAGCTAATGTATTGTTTTTTTGGCATTATGATAGCAAGGAATCACATTGCTACTTATCAACTTAGATGCTGATACTAGATTTGAAGTCTGCATTTCAACCGAAAATCCTACTGGCAATGGAACTTCGATCATGAATCTAGAAGAACGAACTGAAAGATTAAATTTTGGAAGTTTGACTCGACGTTGTAAGAGGTCATCAACGGATATGAGAGAAGAGTACCATTTAAAGGCAAAAGATGGAGATTTACACAGTCAAACAGTTCTTCTGAATGATAAAGTACTTACAGTTGGTTCATCTGGAGAAATCCCTCCAATGGAGCCAAAACAAGTGAGCATGTCGGATCCAATCAGAGTTGATCCTTTTTCCATTGTATTTTCTCACATTCCAAGCTTGAAAAGTCCTGCCTGTGCATAGATTTTTACAAACCAAAGGGGTGAAAAGTACTGCAGTTTTTCATAAAGAAGACAAGTGTAACAGCTGAGAAATCTGTCATAATCAAATGCAAAAAGCTCAGATTCTTATACAAACTGATTTCCTTTAATAAACTAACAATTCCACAGAAAACGTAAAGAATGAATCATTACATGGGCACCGAAATTTATCCATCCGTGCACAATGCCTATCACTGAAATTTCTTTTTTGGTTTTGTCTTCACCCATAACTGAGCTAAGAAGAAATCCCTATAGGGCAAAGTGATTTACCAAAATCCTGAAACTGGATGTTGGTACAAGGAAACTAAATGTGCTCGCTAAAATCCTAAGTAATGGTATAACATTATAACAGTGCTGACTCAAGAAGCTGTTCAGGTTGCAGTAACTTGCTGTTCTTGCAGTGCAAGGGGGATAGCTGGTCTCCAACTTGTGCCTTCTGGAGTGTCCATAAGAGCAATGCCTATAGCAGCCAAGTCTTTTCTAACTGCGTCATATTTTTTGTAATCTTTTGCCTTACTTGCAGCTGTTCTTTCCTCGATCTTTTGCAGTACTTGATCTTCTGTTAGCTTGGCACGCTTCAATGCCTTTTCTCTGAGTTGCTGCAACACCTGAAGATTGAAAAGCTAATTGTAAGGAGAATGAAAAGGTGATTATCTCTAGGACATTTAAAGAAATCAGGTGATATGCTCCTCAAATAATTGGAGGGCAGACAAAACCTCTCATTCTAGAGTCTAAACCTTTGCAATACGAAACATAATGTAGTATCTGACATCAAATCTTACCTTGGAGTAATTTGTGGGCATCAGTCCCAAGACAGCCAGAATTTCTCTAATTATCTTTTCTAGAGCTGCAAGTGATTCAATTCGCATTGCTTGCCTCTTTCCCTGCATAGATCATTAAATAAATCACAAACATCAGTATCAGTCTTTATGTATTGAACAACTGCCAGATGTAAACAGAAGTGTCTGTTGCCAGTAAACACGGAAGTCCTATAAAACAACGAAACAATCATTTTATATTTTGATTGCTGTAGAAATCCTTGTATCAAAATAACAGTTTTGCTGCTTTCTAAGTGAAATTCAGTGGTTGATTTCACTAGTGAAAGGTATAACCAGTGGTGCTGTATCATTGTATCCTGCAGGCTACCCCTTTGCACACTAAATTAGTGGGTTGAAATAAGCCTAAATAAAGTGGCAATTTTCAGCCCCCCCCGAAATCTACAAAATTTCTTGAACCATATTTTCTAACAACCATCATCAAGGAGAAAAAGGAGGATAACTTCATCAACTTGCAGTACTTTTAGCGGGTGCAAGGACCCTCTTTAGGATCCTGGATCAAAATCAAAACATTACCTCGTCCATACATCTTGGTAAGAATAGGCATTTATTGCATGTGGTACACATGCTTAACTAAAAGAGGCATTTTTAAGGTTACATACTTGAATGAATAAATTATCAAGTTTGTAAACCCAATACCTTACGATTACGAGTATGTAGCAGATCATTGATGGTCTTCAATGGGTCTGATAATGCAGCCAAAACAACTGCAATATGAAGATCATCCGACATTGAAGCAAAAAATTCATCATGGAACTTTTTAATGCCATTCAAAATGTTGGGTGGGACAGAATCTTTCTGAAGCCCTGGATCATGCTGGCTCAGAACAAGCTCACAATCATGTAGTGTCTGCAGCCAATTGAACCACATAAAATCAATGACAGAATATTTTTCATCATGATGCAGCCAAATGAAAGTTTATGCAAGCAGCCAAATGAAAGTTTATGCAAGCAACCAAGAAAAAAAATCTCTATGCGAAGTTTCCCCAGTTCTGTTTATTATACATGTAACTATATCACTGTTGCAAATCAGAAAGAACTGCCAGGGGTAAAAAGGTCAGAAAAAATTTAAAATTGGTACCATGTATAAATTGCATGTGAAAACTCTATGTCTCATAAATGAAAATTTAATATCAAGACAATGCCAAAGGATTGGTACCTGATAGATGTAGAAAATACGTTCAAAAGCATTTTCAAGATGCAAAACAGAATAGTTGATTGGAGATCGATAGTGGGTTCCCATTAAGAAAAATCTCAAAGCTAGAGGGTGATAAAGATCTATGACCTGAGAGAGTTTTAAAAATTTATAGCATAAGTTCAATGCAAGAATTATGAAATAACCAAAAAGTAAACATCATATCAATGACTGCAAACCTGCCTGCCTGATTGTGAAGAAGTTTCCAAGGGATTTGGACATTTTTTCAGAGTCAACAGTGACAAAGCCATTATGTATCCAATAGCTTACATTACCCTGGTTACAAGCAGCACAACTCTGAGCAATTTCATTTTCATGGTGGGGAAACACAAGGTCCATGCCCCCACCATGTATGTCAAAAGAGTGACCCAAATAGGCAGCACTCATGGCACTGCACTCAATATGCCATCCAGGTCTGCCAGGCCCCCATGGACTCTGCCAAAAGGGTTCTCCTTCCTTTTCAGACTGCAATAATATCATATAAGATGATATAATTTAATATGAAAAACAATAATAAAGCTAACTTGGTCATATAGTTACAATGAATTGATTCTTCCATTCAATAACACATAAAACAGGCATATCATTAACTTAAAAAACTAATGTTTCAGGAGATGCTTGCCTTCCATAAAGCAAAATCAGCTGGATTTTTCTTCCTGGAGTCCACAGCAACACGCTCACCAGCTCAATTGTCTTCTAACTTTCGCCCAGACAAACGACCATATTCTGGGAATTCGTCTACCGAGAAGAAGACATCACCGTCAATTCTGTAGGCACACCCATTATCAAGAATCTGCCAAATATAGCACTCTGTTAAATCCATGGATATGGAATCCAAAGTTATTACAAGAAAAGGAACATGAAGACATGACCAAGTAACTTAGAAAAGAATTCCTCAGTTAATCATTTACACAACCATGCAATCTTTAACTTCACATTATACAGTAATTGCTTAGATAGTGAGTCACAAGTACCTGCTTGATCGTGTCAATGATTTGAGGCATGTGATCTGAGACATGTGGCTCAACAGAAGGCAAAAGACAACAAAGATGCACCATATCATCATGGAACTCTTCACAATAACGTCTACTCAAACTGATTGGATCCTCCCCCAATTCATTTGCTCTAGCAATTATCTACAGAATTTGAAAAGGTGCAGACTCAGCAATCCTGTCATATCAATAGGAAAAAGCAGTTGGCATTTTAACACTTCAGTGGTCTAATTAAGAGCTACAAAACACCAAAGTTAGAACATTGACAAACATTATTAGGAAAAAGCAATAACCTTCGAAGAAACATTTTGCTGGCAATATAAACAACAAGATGCAAAATTTGATTAAATTACAAAAATATCAACTCGGTTTCACATATCTTCAATGAACATATGAGCAAACTTCCATGACAGCCAAAGGAAAAAGGACAAATTTCCAATTTTTCAACAAACACTAATAAAGCTAATAAAGTTTGCCTAAAAATAAAAAATAAAAAATCAACACCCAAACAACAACTAATGAAGCTTTAAGAAGACTGAGAAAATAGAGCGAACTAACCTTGTCATCAACATCAGTGAAATTCCGAACGTAACACACTTCATATCCCAAATGCTTAAGATATCTGCCTAAATCCCAAATCAAAAAAACGATGGAAACATCACATTCCGTTTTATTAAATATGAGGAGAGTGTGAAAAAGGATATAAAGACCTGTAGAGAACATCGAAGGTAATATAGACGCAAGCATGCCCTATGTGACTGAGATCGTAGGCAGTAACACCGCAGACATACATGTCCACTCTGCCCTCCACTCTGGGCTTGAACTTGAACAACTCCTTCCTTCTGGTCATAGTGTTGTACAGCCACAGCTCCGACGTTGGAGCCAGAGGGAAATCGCCGGCGGGTTTCTGGACGCCTTTCCCATTGGCCAACGGCTGAGACTGAGACGAGCTCAGAGAACCGATACAGGGGACGAAGCTTCTACTCTTGAGGTTCGAGGGATGAACAGAAAGTATGGAGTTGGGGATTGGAGAGAAGCGGGTTAAAAACAGGGGTTTATAGCACTTGAAAACAGTCCCCATTCGCCGTCGCTTCTCTTCTCCCTGGATGAGTGTCGGCCACAACAGAAACGGCCAATTCTGGTTTTGCGGTTGTCATCTACATCCGGCCAACTGAGAGTGCAATAGTCCGCGGATTAGTTGGCTTCTTTTTTTTCGGCAAAAACTTACTTTTGCCATTTACCTTGTTAGGTTTATAGGTTTTAACCCTCACCTATTATAATTGAAAAAAATAACTATTATTTTATAATATTTTATTAATTATATTAATTGATTATTAACTTTATTAGTTGATTATTAACTAATAAAAATTTACTTTCAACTAATAAAATTAATAGTCAATTAATAAAACAATTTTATTAATTAATTATTAATTTTATTAGTTAAAAATAAATTTTTATCGTCTAACAATTAGTTAATAGAGTTATCAGTTAACTAACAAAATAAATTAACAAAATATTATAAAGTTAGGTTTTTTTTTTTTAATTTTAATAGATAAAAAACTAAAAATATCATAGTATAAGATAAGAGGTTAAAACCTATAAATTTAAAAAGATTAAAGACTAAAAAGTAAACTTTTACCTTTTTTTGGGTTTTCCACCTACTTTCTAAAATATTATTTAGTTGCTTAGTTAAATATTTGGTAATTTATAATTTAGAGTGCAGAATATTTTCATTTATTTAAAAAATATTTTTTGTTTTTTGTTTTTGTTTTTTTTTTTCTGAAATCCGACCAAGAAGAAAAAAGTGTTATTTGTTATATATAAGCTCTGTTAAGTTGGCTATTAATTAATAATTAATAAAACAATTAATTTTAATTTAAAATTAATTTATAGTTTCTTCTAAACACCCTACCTAACGGTTTAAGGTGAAACAACCTCACAAATTAAACATAGCCATTGCCCTAGGGGCTTTGTTAAGGTTACTCAAATTGTTAAATTTTTATCTTAGTTTAATGTAATAAATAATTAATAATTAATAAAATAATTAATGTTTATTATTTAATAAATTAAAATTAATTTATAAATAAATATTTTTAAATATTATAACTGATCGTTTTAAAAAATATATAAACTGACAAAATTACAAATATAATAGGTGACTTTTTTTTGAACATAACGGAATTGGTTTATTTCAAATACCGTCATACGTCATTCGTCATACGGCATCTACAGGAATAATAAACAGTAAGTTACATTAGGAGCAATAAACTAGAGTAGACCCATATTTAGAGGCCGAAGGGAGGTGCACATGACACTCGAACAACCACTAAGGGCCAGCTATACAGCGGCCTTCGGTTGAGCGATACGAACGGGACACCCTTCAATCTACCCATGTGGAAGGTGCGCCAGGCTCTAGGATGCCGATGCGGAGACCTGATTAGGCGGAGGCTGATCCTTGGAGGTAGCAGGTGGGTCGCGAGGTTGCCAGATCTGGGATCCCTTGCGTTCACCACCACCGATAGAAGCTACCAGATGGAGGGGATCACCGTCGAATCTGTAAGCCAACCAAAAACAGTGAGCACCTAACAAGATTTGCAGGATAGAGCCGAGGGTTGCCAGATCTGAAAAACAAACTATACAAGAACACAAAGAAAAAACAAAGCAACAAGAAAAAACAAGAAAACCAAAGGGGTCACCAAAGGGGACTCAAAAGCCGACAGGCCCGGAAGGGTCGTCGGAGGAGGGAGCACAGGGCGGCTCCAACATGCTTGAACGGTCGGGAAGCCCGGCGGCTCAAGCGTCAAAACCTCGGAAGCTCAAAGGCTTTCGGGCAAAAACAACGCAGCGCCGGAGAAGGGAGGCAGAAGCAGGAGAGAAGGGAGAGAAAAGGGGGACCAACGAGGAGTTGGATTAAGTGGTAAGCGGCTTGTTCCAGCTTAAGCAAGGTCTCGAGTTCGAGACCTTGTGAATGCAGCAGCCTCCGTTGGGAGACTCACCGACCATTTCCAGGTGCGCGACGCGGGTCGATCCGGATTAGTCGGAGCGAAGTCCCAGATATCGGACGGGAAACCAAAAAAAAGGGAGAGAAAAGGGGGAAAGAGAGAATATAATAGGTGACTTTAACAAAATAAAAAGTGACAATAACGCTCAAATGGCATTTCTACAAAAGCTAGAGATAGATTAATGGAACACTAAAATGAGTACACAATTCTCATTATGTTAGATAAATCCCTGGATATAATCAACAATGTGAAGTAGAACTAAAATCGTGGCTGTCCCAATGGTGGATCGAGAATGCAACCTTTGACGGGTACACAACTAGATAACAGCCTAGAAGACCATTCGACTAGACAGGGAGAAGCGCTCCAAGCTCCTCGTTTAAACTTTGAACAACTCAAATGCTGGACGCAGGGTATATGCTTCCTACTAGTCGAATATCTAACTCCTTCCAGCTCCTGGGAGGAAGTTTGCCAAAGAGGGAACAGCTTGGTTCCTCATTTCTTCTTGTGCTCTTCTCATTTCTTCGGGATCTGTTTCCAACACAAAGGATTGACAGAATTAGTAATAAGTACCTGGAAGCTAGGAATGCAGACAGTAATTAGAGATCTCGCTTGCACAGTTAAAATCTAGCAGGGTAATGAACAAAACATGCAGAACTTTACCCATATTTTCGACTAATTTGGGCATGAGAAACACAACCACCAGCATAAATCCCATCATGAGACCCATTGGGCTTTTCACAACAGACATTATGGAGAAAGGTTCCCTAATCTGCAAAAGCAGAACATTATGTTAGGAACAAAATATAGAATATGAAAAAAAAAAAAAAAAAAAGAACCTGAAGATGAATAGGAAGAGGGTTATCAACCTCATAATACTGTTCTTCTCTCAATGGCTCTAAAACCAACTCACTCAGACCCTTTCTGTTCTCTGTCAATGCAGCCTGAACCTTGCCTGGGTTTCTGGCACTAACATCAACTCGAACCTATGAAAATTCAAAAAGTTAAGCACTGAACCTGTTTTAACTTTTAAATAATAACCCAACAATCAATAGTTGAGAAAATTTAGAAGAAAAAGATCTTACCGGAGAAAAGAAATGACCTATTGCAGCAACTTCAATTAAATGTGTCCCTGCTGGCACATTATGACTTTTGGCACACTCATTAAGGAATTATAATATTTCTGATGAAAAATATATTTGAATCATTCTACATGGTACCAGAAGAAGATTTATATGTCACCACCAAGAAACCTTGAGGAAAAGGAGATTTTGATAACAAACCATGTGAATTTTTTAACACAACCATGCAGAAGAAGAAATAGTAGGATACAATGAAAAATAGCCATCAGGTCTCAGGAAAGTAATGTTTTGGCCACCATTGAGCATAACTTTTACATTTGAAATTTTGCCAGAAGAAACAAACCCTTTCACACCTAGACCTGCCAAATAATTTCATCAGTCATCTACATAAAGTTAAAAACAAACACTGTCATATTATGGCAAAAGATGCAGAAAGGATAAATGGATATAAAAGCAAAACAAAACAAAGAATTAAACCATAACAACCCATGCTAATTTTTGAAGGCTAGTAACATAAAAAAGCATAAAGCATTAAAAAAATAAATAGATATCCAAGAATATGATCTCTATTCTCCACTTTAGTCTCAACATTGCATTGGAAGAATTGGATGCTCTCCAGAAACCTAGAAATCTCCAGAAACCTAGAAAGAGCAGCTTAAGAAAGCATTAACTGAAGCCATTAGTTAAATGGTTGAAATTGTCTATATCTTAATACGTAAACCCTGAATTAGAGGTGTTGTAATCATCTTTCTTGGAAAAGTGGGAAAAAGAGAGTATGGAGAACATATCAACATTTCAAGGAAAGTTTCTATCAGGAAGAATTCCTGAATATCAAAAACACATAGTAAAAGGTTGCAAGCTAAAATAAGATGCCCCCATTATTTCTCTGTGAAAAGGCTAACAACAAGCCCTGTGCCTATGCCTTAGCCATAAGTAGCCTATGAATATTAATACCATGATAAGACCTTATTAGAATATAATGACTAAGGAAGATTAATACTGTGAGTATGGTAACATCAGAAAGTAATATCATCAAGATGGAAGCAATTTTCGAATTTCAAAATGAAAATAAACCCACTTTCACACCTCAAACTGCCCAAATTTGACAAAAGCTAACAGATCGAAAGTGGAAAATACCTTGGGGGATCTTGACTCGACCATTTATAGTGTACCCATCTCCAGAACTGTGAAAAATATAAATACACAGATGATTAACGTTAAAATAACGAAAGATTCATACCCAAAGTATAAATTAAATCAATATTAAACCCTGTTAACACACCTTAAATGCCTAAATATAGGCTCAACTTCATACCAGAAATTAGAAAAAAGAAAAAAAAAAAGAATCTAATTAACTAATGTTGCTAAATTCTCTAAATTCACTATCAAAGAACTAAACCATAATTAGTTATATACACACCAATTCCCCAACGAACAAACAGAAAATCAGAAATTGAGAACATACGCAGGAGAAATCGCGACTGCTGTAGGTAGAAGAGATACGCATAACTGAAAGAAAAGTACAAAAAGGAGCGGCTTGGATCCCATCATCGGCGACATGGTAGCTGCCTAGCTGAGATGGAGACAGCTTTAGCGGTTGATGAAATCTACAACTACAACAGAGTCACAGAGCTCTCGCTGAGATCTGTCTATTTTGACTCGCCTTTCTTCCTCGCCAGGACGGAACCAGACTGGCCCAAAATGAACTGCGTGCATGGTATAATACTCGCCAGTCTTCCAGGCCCAATGAAGAATAACCACAACAGCCCACTTTAAGCCCGTAAGTTCCTTGTGCAAGTTTTTATTCATAAATCTCTTACCTTTATATTTTGTTTGGGGTACAATGCAACAGTTGATTAAGTGAAAAAAATTTGATTTTTTAAAAATAAAATTTTGAATTTAAGTCTTATAAATAGAAAAACAAGAGTGGGAAGAGTTTACCCCTTTATAAGATTTGACACGACTTAATTTTAAATTAATCGAAATTCAATATAACTACTAGGGGTTTGTAAAAAAAAAAAAAAATTGTTGTTTGGAGTTGGGGAAGTAAGGGCGAGGGAACCCACTTACATTTTCTATTTTTAAAATTTTTAATTTCTTTGTTTATCCGAATAAAGGAAGAAAAGTGGAAAGATGTAAAAAGAAAGTTATTTTTAATTATTTTTAATTTTTTTTAATTTTTTTTCTTATTCAAATAAAAAAAGGAAAATAGAAAAATAGATATTTTCTCATTTCTCTCAAATCAAATATGCATAACTTTTTAATTAAGAATATTTTTGAATCAACTTATATAATTCTTTCTTAGACAATCTTAAAAATTTATTGTAAATTTAATTTAAAAAATTAATTTTTACGTGAACTGAATGTAATTTGTAATATATACTTCATATATAAAAATAATCAAATAACAGCACACAAGTAAAAAATTCATTACAAAAATCGAAACCAAGGGATGAGAAGTACACCAACTACAAACGATTTCATTTAGACAATCAATCAATTACAATTTAACATTGCATCGTGGCATGAGGGAGGGGTTTACACGTTAAATCGGTATTCTGTAAATGTATAGTAAGCTCAATATGGCAGAGACAATTGCCCCGAGAGAGAAATAAGATTTGCCTATTTATGCTACACCATTTCCTCGAATGCTACAACCCCAACTTCTTGGAGAACCGATCTGAAAGATTAGCTATTACAAAGCCAGCAAATACCTGAAACAAAACCAGGGAAAAATAATCACATTTGTAACTCCTTTCCTAATTACACTACCTCTTCATGAGGATTACCTCCTATTTTGTAATGTTGAGAGCAAGATACTTGGTTTACTCAAGAAGTTTCTATGATATATATGTTAAGTAAAATGCAAATTTGTTGTATAGTAAGTTAAACAAAATTTTCAAATAGGATTCATCTTTTGACATTTTAGTCACCTGAACCGAGCCAAGAATGTAGATAGCTGAGTAGTGACGGCCGTGGATTACCATGTCTGCTACCATAGCGAGAGGGATGGTAAGTGACATTCCCAAGGTGGCCACCAGTGGAGTGGTCCATACAACACACAAAGCCCTAGGGAGAAAGGAATGCTGAAGTTTATAAGAATACATTGAATAAGAAAACCAAAAGAGGGGTGTGTGTGTGCGCGCGCCCGAAGCACACAGAAAACTGCACTTACCAAAAGTAATCAGAGAGGACACTTCCAACAAAGCCATTCACGAGAACAATTTCATCCAGCTTGGTGGAATGAGGAATTGTAAATTTGGGTTCAATTCCCAGGGCTGTCAATGGCCAAACTGAAATAAAAATAAACAAAAACTTATTTTGCTAGATAATAAGTCTTCCATACCTGATGCGCTTGCTAAGGTTATTAGTTTATCGTGAAAGGATCTTATATGAACTTTGATTACTGACATATAGTCAATGAACACTTACTAAGCCACCATAATGCTACCAGTGTAAAAAGTCCTATGTATCCAAACAACTTCTGCACATCAGCCCTTTCTCCTTCCTCACCAGCAAACTTCTTAAGGAGCACTGCAGAATAAAATTTAGAATAAAATTAAGAGATATTTTTGTCTAGGAGCCTATAATGGACAAATAAGAAAAAAAAAAGAAGAAGAAGAAGAGATATTGGCAGACCTGTAAATAGCCCATAAGACATGGCTGAGAGAAGGCCAAAAAGATCTCCAACAAGAGAGCGCTTCCCATTGCTAAACACAAACATCAACTGTCAATGCCAAAACATACATTACAAAGAGCAAGCTAATAGAGAAAGCTTTTAACTTAAAAACCTGGAGAAAGAAATTAGCTAAATTATTGACTTAAGTAACCACATATAAATAGACAGGATATATAAGTTTTCTGTTGCTCAATTCTTGAATCAAATCAGAATCCAATAGACTAACACAAAAAGGAAAAAAAAAAAAATCAAACTGCTTGTTTAGCTGGTAAAAAGTTGTACATATAGCATATGTCAGTTTTGTCTAAATTTTTTAAAATAATAGTGTCTATGCAGAAGCCAGGAGGTCCCTTTTTTAGTTCACTGAATTAATATTCCAGTAAACTAAGTGAAACCCCCTCTATTTCATTGAGTACCATTGAGGCAGTACAATTATTCATAAAATGGATGTTGAAACTCCATAATGCCATGAAATAAATGGTAAAATGCACACTTACGCTGAAGAACTTAATTCTGACTCATCAGTGGCCCACGTTTTTCCCAAGGTGGTCATGGCAACACCAGCCATGCTGACAAATACAGCAACTACTTTTGCTACATTTAACGAATCTTGGCCTAGAAAAGTGCCGATGAAAAGGGTAAAAAGCCCTGACGTAGAGGACAGTACAGTTGTACTCGCAACACTTGTCCGTGCAAGAGCTGCATTTGCTAGATACTGCAAGTGTAAACAACCAGAACAAGTCAGCAAGAATTCCTCAACGTCTTTTATGCTGAAATATGTGAAGCACAATCAATACCAATAAAATGATTTATGCAAGAAAGAATAAAATTGAAGCTAAAACTTCCAGACATAACATAAAGATAGAAACAGGAAAAAATTTCCTCTAAGCACTATGCAAGTGAAAATTACCTCTGTTATAAACCAGATAGGAGCAATGTAAAATCCCAAGGTTGCAGTCTCCCTGGTAGTAAGCTCTTTACCTTGTTTCAGGGAAAGAACTTCTTCTATATTTCCAGAAATCAATGCTGCTTCCTCGATATGAGGTGAAAAATCTACTCCACTGTCCTTCTTTGTCAAAGTCCCTTGAATTTCCATTTCAATGATTTTTTGCCTTAGAGGAGAGTTAAGTCCAATAGAAGACTCATCTACGCTTTCTACATCTTTACCACTAGTAGGAGATTGACGTCTTAGAAAATTACACAACCAATCTTTAAGGAATGCTATTGGGAGGTAAACTACCAAGAGGGAAGCTCCAAGATATGTAACTGCAAAAGGCTGTTTATAGTCTGCAAAGATACCCTGCGAATCAGAAAATCCGAAATCAGTTAGTCTCTCTCACAAGCTTATAATGAGTTCTGTGCTACATTATCATGTTCACAGTGAGAAGAGTGTCCCCTTCTAAATTGACACATTTTTGACAGATACACAGAAATTCATTTGCATATATTAGACAACCTATTCGACAAGAAGAACCTCCATCCATAGGTTCCTCTCCAGAAGTTTCATAACCCATCATTCAAGACCGATCAAAGTATTCGAACAAATATTACAAACATTTTATCACTTATTCCCACCATTTCGAAATCAAAAGCATATAAATTAGTTCCTAATTAATCACAAATATGCAAATGTTTGGCAGATTAGCTTCATCAAGAGCTAGACTTCCAACATATTTTGCTCCATGTTCTCCTCGCTTTCTTCCTACATGTATGCAGCTTAAGAAGAAAAATGAATCCATGGATATACACTGCTGGCTTATGTAAAAGTAGCAACAAAAATGTGCAAAACCAAATCCAATCTAGAATTACTTGAAAGATAAAATGTTCAAAACCCATGAAAACTAATCCATCAATAATAATACAGGCATGTTCTCTAATCAAAATAATTCAACTTTAGCAATTAACTCCCATAATTCAAAGAACCCAGAACCAAATGATTGAGAACAGAAAATTAAAACAGAAAAAAACCAACCTGGGTGACTTCCGCAGAGGCAACCCATATGACAACCACAGTAGCTATCAATAACAAACCCGCCTTATACTTCCAACCCATCAATGAAATCCAGACCCAGATGCTGAAAACCCCCAGAAAATTCAAAGATCTATTCTTTCTAGCAGATCTTTGATTAGGTCCTGCTCGTTTGACTCACCACCGATATCCGATATTACTGAGATCCAAGAAGTCGTACCCTTCAACGTCCAGAAGAAAGAAGGTATCGCGGTGGTTAGTAGGAGATCGGCGGGACGGGAGGAGGATGATACTTCTGGAAAGGAAGAGTCCACAAAGAATTGTGGAGGAAGAGGGCGAAGTAGGAGGAAGGAATAACTTGTGTCTACATTAAGTTTGGGTTTGCAATGTTTAGCTACAAATTTACTTCATTTCTTGCTACCTTTTTCCCTCCTTTTTGTTGCTTACGTTATTTGTCATTTGGAAAATGATCTGGATGCAGTTTTCGTGTTCAATTTTCTTCGCACGCAACGCTATGATTAAATGATTGGCTGCTAGATTTGTATTGGAAAATTGTTTGTAGGCTGTATTTAAAAAAATGATAATGAAAAATATTCTAAAATTAAGTTGTTATAATAAAATTTTATTAAAAATAAAATGATTAATTTTTAAATTAATGAGTTATTTTATTTTATTTTTTAATAAAATAATACTTTTGAAATTTTTTCCTTTTTTTTTAAGATTTAACTAAAAAAACACTAAACTTTGTTATATTGCATAAATTTTTTTTTAATTTATACTTTAAAAATATAATCATCACATATTTTTATTATTAATTTATATAAAAAATAAAATAAAAAATTAATTTAAAATTTATCAATTATCCAAATCGTTTTACCAAAAAATTGATATTAAAAATAAATTT